GACACCATTGTCAAAGATGATTTCGGTACCACTTTCTGGAGTATCATTCATCGCCCATATCATCAACTCCTCCGGTTTCATCATATGAACCGACTGGATATTGTATGTACTTCACGTTAATACACGGTTTCACATTCTTTTCTAAGGTTAGATCATGCTCATAAGGTTACACAGTTCCGATGGACTCCTGCTGCTCAATTACTTGTGCCAATTTCCGCTTTTTTGATTACATAAGTTGTGTTTGTGCATATATTGTCTGCTTACAAATCATTCCCCATTGGTCTATCAAATGATCAGATCTAGTCTGCCCTAAACTACCCTGGTATATATATACCTTCACCTTTGCTTCCATTCCCATTTCTTCTTCCATCCTTAATTTGTAAGTGGCATTTGTTTACTGTTCTTTCATACAATGCTGACATTCATACAGTCTCTACTCACAGCTCAACACACTCCTTTATACACATAAAGTGTTTACTTATCTGGTTTGTATTATTCCACTGCTCATTAAGATTGTTATCTGATGCTCTCCACACAGCCCAACTCATTGTCATGGCCAATATTCCACTGTCTCTAACCCTTGTTGATGCCCTTCAGCAGGTACTTAACCGCCATCGGGCTCGTGTAACGGTGAGTGCTTCTGCACGCCTTCCTACACAATCACTACCTGTCGATGCTCAATCGGTGTCTGCTATCAAGCTACCTAATCTACACAACAATCCTGATCCTTCTCGCACTATTGTCTCTGCCCCTGTTGCATCGTCTTCTCATATTCCTTCCACTAATACTCACCTTAAGCACCGTGTTACTATAAGTGATCATATCCAGCCCCGTAAGCGCTATGTGCGATCCAATGCACACTCTGTCATTATCCGACCCATCCACAACCTTCGTTACAGTAAACTTCGTCCTGCTCATGTGCTAACTACTCCAACCCATGTTCCACAGCAGGTTACAGCACAGAAGTCTCCCAAGAAATAGTATCTTACTTATCTACACTCTGCATGTTATACATATCTTAGTCACCTATAATCAAGTACATTCCTTTTAATCTGATCTATATTGGAGCAACAAGCGAACAGATCAGTGACGCAATTGTCCCGTATGGGCATCGCTTTGCCTGTGGACAAACATGCTCACCGCACCATTGCACCGTCATTCCGACGCATGCTTGCCATCTGTTTCTCTGTTGCTCCAATAGCCCAGTTATATACGACTTCCTCTTTTCTTGGTATTGTTTCACACAGATCAACACATTAATTTCATATATATAGAAGAAAGTATTAAAGCTCATTACAAGTGAATCCCTATTTCCTAACACACTGGCAACCACATATCAGCAGACTTGAAACATCCATATCACATATCATCAGTAGGTGTAAAGCTTGCCTAAGATTTATTAATCAAGTCAGTCAGATTCAAATGAGTTGAATTGAATCACTTACAAAGGTTTTCTTCCCTAGGATTCTGTGAGCTTTGGCAAGGCATGCGTGCAGTGAGACAACGTCAGACCGCGTCTGCTTGCTTATCCGCCGCCGCTCAGCCTTGCTTGCTCTACGTGCAATCTCTGCTGCTGACCCAAGAGCAGGAGGAGCAGCACCAGGAACAGCTGCCTCAATAGCAGCAGTGACCACATTCTGCTGGGTGACAGGAAGTTGAGCAAACCCCCCTAAAGCTGACACATGAATAGTGCCAGCATTGTCAACACGCTGATGGAAGAACAATTGACCTGGCTTCAAGCAGTCCCAGTGGGACCACTTCTGCCGGTCAGTTG